TCAGGGTATCGAGAGATCTTTCAATCCCTCCCGGCGGTGAATAGGAGGTAACTCGTAACAGTGCCATCTATTGGTTAGCTAAAGCAACATTATGAATACATTGATGGTAAGTGTATCGACTGCACTAGTTGATTTGCGAAATGTTGAAATTTGCTGGCACTGTTATGAGCTAGTTCTTATATTATCATGTGCTCCTGTTAACAATTTCATAAAATCCTGTTTAAAATGGCGCGTTTCTAGCCGTTCCAGCAGGAACATAACCTTAATTTTTCTACATGCTTCTGACTACTTTTGACAGCGTTAGGATGCTCGTAAAATATTTAATAATTAAAGGTCTTTTTAAAATTTTGTTGCAAAATTTAAAATGCCAATTGTTAAAGAAATTAAGAAACGACGTCTTTTATTAGGACGTTTTTAGAACGTCTTAAAGATATCTTTCTTTAGATATAAAGATGTTTTTTAAAGTGTTTTTGTTAAGTGTTTTTAATAAACAAATCTTTTAATTAAGTATTGGATTATTGGATGTCTTAGATAATGAACAAAGTGTGAATCCTTCATAAGACTAGTTATAACCTCCCTAGTGTGATACCTCTCTTGCCCTGACATTTCCTTCTCTTATTTTTTTCTTTATGGTTAGAACGGTTAAAACAGGTTAGAATTAATTTGAATTGTACAGGTCGAGAAAGACGCAATATAATTTTGTACCGGATCAGCAAAACATTAACAAGGTATGTTTGTTATTAAATAATCATTATTTGATTGATTTAACTGATGTTTTCGACAAATAAGTTTTGTATGACAAAGTGTTTGGAAGTCATTCTTTGTGTCTGCAAATCAAAGTTTATGTTAATTTTGATTTTATATTTTCTACAGATAAAACATGTATTATCACAAGAAATGTACGGTGCTGGGTTGCACATCGACCGGCATGAAACTTCGTGCATTCCCACTGGCGACTAATAAAGAAAGATTTCTGAAATGGCTGAGAGCTTGTGGAAACGTTCAATTGTTGAAGCTATCAGAAAGACAGTTGAGACATAAAGTTGTCTGTGACTTACACTTTGAAACAAAAGTGAAACTGGCATCTACTTTGTCCAGGGTCGCAGTTCCCACCTTGTTTTTGCCAAGTATGTACATTTTAACATCTGGAACATCTGTAAATCATCAGTTATTCATTTTGATGTTTTTATAGAGCCTATTGATGTGTCCAGTTACAAATTTGATGCAGATAAGGATTCAGATGCAGATACAAAACTAAGGTAAGTATTAAATATAAGTATTTGAAACATTTTATACTTGTGTTATGATAATAAAATTGTAGATGATTACTGCATAACATTATAAAAATGCTTAATAATGTTATTATATTGCAAATAACATAAATATAAATGTTAACTATTAATTGCATCATAATAAATGGTATACTATTTAATAATAATTTTTAATGTACATGTAACAGAGATTATATAACTGTGGCAGAGTTATTGGAGTCAGAAATTGAAGGAAGTGAGGAGGAAATCTCCGAACAAGAGCAAAATCTTAACGTGGAACAAGAATGCGACAATGCTGAACAAGATGCAGCTTCTCTCTCGGACAATTCCGAGCTGAATAATAGAGTGTTGCTTAATGAAGACGTTTATATCGGCAGAAATGGATTAACTGAATGGAGGAAAATGCCCTGCGCAAGTGAATCTGTCACAGATCTTTCTCCCGAGGAACATGTTGCACAATCGAGTTCTCATTGCTCTACTGCGGATAAAAAACCTTGCGAAATCGAGAATGAGCTGTGTGCTTTACGCGAGTTTATTGACAAGAATATGCTGGATGAGATCATAACTGGTACGAATTTGTTGATTAAGCGTAGGCGACTGTCTCGCACGTACTCCCGGTGCAGAGATTTGAACGAGACAACGAGAACCGAGCTGCTGGCAGTATTCGGTCTGCTATATCTCGTCGGTATGAAACGAGCGAGTCACACAAATCTACTGGAACTTTGGGCCGACGACGGCACCGGCCTGGAAATATGCCGCTCCACCATGAACTATAGGTAAGCGTTGTTTTTTCTTCTGTAATATAAATTATAAGTTTGTTGATGCAAGTTATAATTTTATAGAAATTGATATTTTTAAACTTTGCTAAATAATTTATCAAATTAACTAAAAAATTTTGTACGATTTTTTGTAATTTATTATTTGTAATACAATTGTTTGCAATATATTTTTCTAATATACTTCATATTTTATTACAAAAATCCAATTCTCTACTAACATAGAAACCGATTACAGACGGTTCCTGTTTCTCTTGGACTGCCTACGATTCGACAACAAGAGCACCAGACTCACACGATTGAAAGAGGACAAGTTGGCATCCATAAGAAATATCTGGAACAGATTCGTAGAGAATTGCAAGAAATCCTACTCGCCCAGCGGCTCGCTCGTTATCGGCGACAGATTGAAGAGTTTTCAAGGCAAGTGCAGCTTCATTCAACATATGCCCGACAAGCCGGCGAAGTACGGACTGAAGATCATTAGCCTGGTGGACGCCAAGACATCCTTCACCTGCAACATAGAGCTCTACTGCGGGCAGCAGCCAGAAGGGCCTTACAGAGTCGAAAACGATCCCGCAGCCATCGTGCACCGACTGCTTCAGCATATCAAAGGCTCCCCCAGCAATGTTACCTGCGATGATCGTTACACCACGTATCCTCTCGCTGTTTCGTTGCTAGACGACAATATAACGTTCCTCGGTGCGATGGGAAGAGCCCACGATGAAGTGCCTGCGTGCTTCCTGTCGGGAAAGTGGAGACCAGTCGGCAATTCCTGTTTCGGCTTTCGGGACGATGCTACATTGGTGTCTCATGTGACGGAGAAAGGCAAGGCGATCGTCGTGCTCTCGACGATGCATCGTCAGGCGGAAATCAATCCGCGTACCAATGTACCGGCGATCATTGAGGAGTACAATGCGGCCAAGGACGCGGTGGACGTCGTGGAGCAAACGTGCGCAACATATTCCGTTTCGAAAATGACGAAAAGATGGCCGCTGGCAGCGTTCTTCGCGCTGTTGGACATCGCCGGATTGAACGCTCAGATTCTCTACAACACTTCCCAGAGGAAGATTATGCAGAAGTGCAGGAGGGGCTTCCTCAAGAATCTTGCGCTCGCGCTGTTGAAGCCGCATTTACAGGTGAGCAGCATCGGACGAGAAATAAATTTATAAATATTTAATTTTGATAATAATAATATATTGAGTTTTTATATTAATGTTCTGTACGTGCCAAAGTAATGTCAATTTATGTAGAAATTTAATATTAAATAATTTTTATGTTAACAAATAAAGATTTCTAAATTAACATTCCTATTGCAGGAAAGAGCGAAGATAAAGAACATTCCTCTTAACATTCAAACCACAGTCTTGAATAACACATATGAGAACAGCGTTGAACGTTCCTCGAATAAACGGTCCCACGAAACGGATGAGGAGGTGGACGAGGAGGAAACAGCCAGGAAGATGGGCCCATGCTTTCTATGCGGACGACGCAAAATCACGCGTACAGCATTCAAATGCAGCACCTGTTTGAAATTCACCTGCAAGGGACACATAACGTGTACGAAATACACTTGTGAAAAGTGCGACGAAAACACAGTGTGCGACATTTAGCACCGATGTATGAATAGTTTTTTCTCTTTACATGTATATAAAAGGTGAGTGACTTTACGAAATTTATAAATATGACAAATTTATAAAAAATCTTGTTGAGATTTCATAATTTTTCCCACGACAGAAGATTATGAAGTTAGTATATCGTATGGTTTTAATATTATATATAATTATATATTATATTATTATTTTATATAATTAATTATCTATAATATTAATTATATAATGTAATAATATATATTTATATAATATTGATAACAAGAGAATTTGGAAAGAAGATCACGATTTTATTCTTTCATTTTATAATGGCACAATATAAATTCCTATCAATCCTTTATTAATTCATCATCATATTGCTCTGTAATGTACATTTCATCTCCAAGTACAACGTATACAGGATGTCCTAGAAATACCGCGCTTTCTTCCACCACACATTTTATTTCATTCGAAACTGTAGTTTTAAAATCGTTAGGAAATGTATATGAAAAAAAGTATTGCTCATTCAAATTTTTAATTATGTTTCTTTACTTGGCAGCAGAAACGCGTTAGTTCTAGAACACTGTATAAAGATCCAGTCTTCTTCTGCGGCACCGACACCCTCGTCCCTGACTCATCAGGCGTGTTATTTTTCGATCAGTCGAAGCTTCGACGCCAGTCATGTGGCGGCCAGCCAATGATCTTGAATGAACGATGATCCGGGTTTCACATTCGGTGATTAGTTAGGCGTTGCGCGATCAACCTAGAGAAAGAAACAAGATTAAATCAGACTTGAGTCGGGCAATCAACGATGTTTTTTTTTTTTTTAATAGCAATTATAAAATCGATTTGCGCTCATCATTTAACAGATCTACACTGATCTCATCTGTTACTTTACGTAGTGTCGTTTGCTTGTTCAAATCGTGTCTATTCGTTTATCGAGTGAATAATTGTACTTTATTCGTTCGTTTTATAGCCTCCCTAATGGTTTTTTATTACTTTTTGCTTTGCAAAGTCATCGGACGACTGTTTTACCGCCTCTCGATTCTCTCTAGCGCCTGTCGTGCGTACAAAGCTGCGAAACAATTTGTTATATGCAACTTATTTGCAGCGATAACGTTGAAATTCTCATGAAAAGCGTAAAAATCCACGAATCTTCTCCGTTCTCATCCTACGCACTTTTTATATAGGTTGCTGTTCGTACGAGACACAAAAATAAAGAAACGCAAGTCTGCTACAGTCGAATGGAGCTTATTTTGTAAGCGATTCGGTCGCCCATATAATGCACTCGATATTCTTTTCGATTCTCTATAATTTATCGTGATATGCGATCTTATTGTTCCGCTAAAATCTTTATGAACTTCGCAAACCTACTTTACACACTCGATAAATGTAGTAGATATATCGTCTGTTAATGTTAATTGATTCTGTTTGTTAATTTTATATATTCATAGATATATATATATATATATTTTATATATATTAAATAGATAGGTTCTCTTTCTAGAAATTGATAGCTTGTCGCAAAGAACGGATAGATATTTATTTGTATTTTACTCACCTGAGCTTTTGGGTTGAGGTCTACTCGAGCATTTGACTTTCGTTTAATATTTACTGTGTTTTGCGTTACGCACATTTGGCGTGATTCTTATTACTTTTCTCGCCCAGTTTCTTTTCTCTTTCTCTCTCGTATAGCTTTTCGCTAGTATTTGTCACTGATCGATTTCTTAATTTAGCTTTTAAGTAAATTAAAAAAATCGTGTGCATACAAAAACTCTACACTCTGCATATAAAATAAACTATTACTCCGAGTGAATTGTCGTACATTTTACTTTATAACAGACTTTTACGTTACAACAGACCAAACCTGAAGCAATTATTCGTAAACTCAAGGACGCTAATATTCGTTTTAAAGCTTACTTTTATTATCATTGGACTATTTGTGCAAGTAACGAAAGTAACTCTACTGACTCTATTTGTCGATTGCTTTTCTTTCTTTCTTTTTTTTAGTGGGTGGATGATCTTTAGCGAATTTGACGTGTTCTTGCTGGAGGGATGATATTTTCTGTCACTCCCCCTCTGACTTTCATTCATTGTTCCCTAAGTATCTCAGCTTGTCGCTACGCCTGTGAAATAAACTCAATTTTCGTCAAATTTTGTCTTAGATCTCAGCATTGTACGCTTTAAATCGTACTCGTGTCGTTCCTTAATCAGTAATACAGTGTTACACGCTAAAATGATATCATGACTGTATCTTTAAAAGCTACAAACGATAAGAGAATCTATTCTACGCTGTTAGATTATACTTATTATCTGAGCTTGTCAATATTAATCCCAACGTTTACGCTTAGATTCAGGGGATGGAATATATTTCTGGAATAGTAATGTCATCGTGAAAGATTAATGTGCAAAATTCCTTAAGGATTTGAATGTGGCAATTTACGATCTTATATCCTTCCTTAGATTCGTACAATACTCTTTCTAAGTTATCTATTTTTTTTATATATTTACCTTCGTAATTCAATCGTGTCGATTTTACGATTTCTTTAGGACCTGGACTTTAGGACCCTCCCTCTTCGTCTGTTCATTCTTTCACCAATTCGGAGTCGAGTTTTCTTTTCTTTTTTAATCGAAAGTGCCGAGAGGAAAAATTTATTATTTGATATCTTTGATGAACAGATCTTTGAAGATTTTTACAAATTTGTACGTCTCCAAGATTGACCTTTCGGAGAACAGCGTTTTTAATCGTTCTCGAAATTTTTTTGTCGAGATCGGCTCCAAATTGGTCAAAGAGTTGGCAAAACTCGAAAAGCGGCTCGGTAAATCTCGAGTGTAATCACGGCGGATTAATCTAATCTCTACTAGAATTTGGTAAAATGGCTCATACCTACTTCGTCACTACGCTAACGAGGTGAGCGCCTCATTTATCGCTCTATTCGCCCATTCATTTCTTTTAGCCTGTCTCTCTCTCTCTCTCTCTCTCTCTTCTCTCTCTCTCGTTCTAGGGCAGTTGCTGGTTTCGTCCGTTCTTTTATCTACTGTTCTCTCGTGCCGGAGGTGAGGTGTGACAATAATAACAAATCTTCGATGTATCGATGCTTTGTGATCTTTCATATTTTTTTTTCTTTCTCTCTTCGACGTTTCGTCTCGTCTTAAATCGAGCGGTCGGTTACAATAGGATACCGGAAGTGACAATACACTATCTCTAGAGTCACTCGTAAAAAGGCGTACACAACAGAACACAGTACAAACTAATCAAGCGAATTGCGTTAATTAATATAAAATGGTGAATTAGACGCTATTGAAATTCGAATTTGTTATCCTACGCTCATTTCTCCCCTTACACGGCCGGCACGCAATACTCTCCGCCGAGGAAAAAATCTAAACTCCATAGTCGCCGATTGTTAAATAAACAGATAAATGCATACTAGTGTTTCTCTTTTCATTTTCTTCGACTAAACGCAGTATTCGTGAGAACTTTCCATCGATTGTCTACGCCAGCGTTGACGTAGTTAATTGTTATAGATTACTAATTAAAACTACACAGAGTTACAGAGTAAATTATAAAATTGGTAATTTTAGCCAACAAGAATTACAATAAATTATAAAATGATCTCAATGAACAATAATTACAATAAATTACAAAATTTTCAGTAACTTTATCCTCAAAAAAAAGCTTTGTGTTCTCAGTTTGATTTCATTCAAGTAAATAAATATTTAACTCAAGCAAAATGGATGAATTTCGCGATCAAACTGGTTGCAAATTGTCGGAGTACAAAGTAAAATCTTTTGCTAGTAACCTCTTTCTAAGTCTCGTTGGGGGATGAAGTACACAAATTCTGAAATCCACATACGCGTTCGCCGCGACTCCTTCTCTTTCCTTCACAAAGGATTTATTTTCTATTTACAAAATACAGGACGCCGCCCCTTACACATTCTTAGTCAGCCGTCATCCACGCTCTTTCGTCATTGCTGTATGTTCTAATTGATATTTATTACTGTCACTATTAAATTACGCTACAAATCGTGGAGAGAACATGCTCGAGATTTCACGCTCGATCAGAGTTTGAACTTAATCCTAGGTCGCCGTGCATCCACGTGCAACGTGGCGACGATAAGTGAGATAATGCGATGTGTAACGTGTGGATGGATGTGTGTGTATTATCGCTAAATGTCAAGTATAAAATGTGTATTCCCTACATATCGTATGTGTGTGCCTGTGATATACAGGATGTTTAAAAAAAAATGTTAACACTTATATGGAGAATTCGTACATTTATATACTTTCTTTCCTCTGCAGTGTTGATTGAAAAACGGCAAATGAGATCGTCTTGGAACAGAGAAGACAGTCTCGCGTTGTCATTTCGATCAACTGCAGAGAAAAGAAAATATATACATGCACAAATTCTCCATATAAGTGTTAATCTTTTTTTTTTAAGCATCGTGCATACGGTTGGGCTTCCGTTCCACGCGCGCGAGGTCTGTATGGCGAACGGAAATAATGGAGAATCTCGAAAGCAAAGCGAAGGAGAGCGAGCGGGAAAAAATGCGAATCCGAGCTCCGTAGAATCGTAAGACACCGCAGAGAATTGTGTAACGGAACAATTCTCTGCACATCGCGCACAATTTTTCTGGTTATTGGTTTTACAAGTAAACACACGGTGCGATATTTCCTCAGACAGAACACAATCAATCTTTAAAATCATTTGCAATATCAATAAAATATAAAAAGCATAAATAAAAAAAATTTGTACGGTCGTCTGATCAAAAATTCACCGGAAGACACATGCCGCGATTCGCATCTTTTCCAATCGATCCATCATTCAATCAAGTCGAGTCGATCAACTGGATCAATATGGTGAGGCTGTTACGCAGACTTCATTCAAGGTAAACTCTCTCGCTCTCCGTTAAAAAAATAAAAAAAAGAAAAAAGAAGGGTACATTCGGTTTTGCTTTCATCAGATTCTACGATTGTCAATCGCTCTTCTCTCGATTTCTTTTCGCAATCTCGAAAGGAGAGAGAGCACTGTCTCTGTCCGTCGAACTTTCGCGTGCGCTGGGAGACGGTTCGACCGTGTATGTATAGATATATATATATTTTTTCCTTTTTTGTTTTTTTCGTTTGGAAAAGATTGTCTACTTAGATACAAGAGGTTAATCAGAGCGGACTGTTTTAATTGAATGTGTCGGGTATCTCTTTAATAACGTCGCTGAGACTGGGCGTTTTGGTAACCAGCACTGCCACCTGCAAACAACCATAGCTCCTCCATTCCATTACTCGGGAAATAGAAAATTCATGCTGCTGCATCTCTCTACACATTACACAAAATCGTACGCCCTATCGTATAGATCCTTTTACGATATCGCTATCTATCCACCTTTGCCTGCCTATTACTCTTTTTTTTTTTTTTATGCACATGCCGTGATCTCTCTTTCTTAAGTGTGCTAGAAAAAATGAACTTCTCGCGAACGATAAGATGTCCTTGTAATGCAAATATCTTTTTCAATTTTTTGCTGATTTACTTTTATATTGTGAATATAAACCGCGAACGTCTTCTAACGCTATGGATAGACATGTGATATCTCGTAAAAATTTCCGTAATACTGCAAATACTTTTGTAAGAACTGTAAACACTTTTCTTTTTTAGTATGCTACGAATGCCTCGTGATATTGTAAAACGTTCCGATGACATGTATTGCGAATACTCGTTATAACATCGTGAATGCTTCTCGTTTACTTTTACACTTACAGCGCAGTGTGTCTAAATTATAATGTCATGCTCGGCTTTCTACATATGAATCCAGTTACGTACATCTCTTTTTTTTCCATTGTGTTACATGTGTGCAGTATTAACTGTGATTCTTACATGACTTACAACAATGCGGACTGATTAAACTTTTCCTGATTTTAGGATTTGCAAATCGCAACTGTTGAATCCGCAGATTTTTCGAAATATCATAAATCGTAATCCGTTTTTTTGCGTTCTCTGATTCTTAGACATGCCAAAATTTCATCGATTCCTAATCAATTCCTAAAATCTCCTGAATATAATAAAATGTTTTGCATTTTTTTTTTCTTTGTCAAAGCGTGAAAACAGAAATCTTTTTGTATAAACTGACTCGTATATGCCGTCCTTGATCCTACTTTTTGTACTTTTCGATATTTCTCCCTTACAGTTTTGATTGATATTGTGGACACTTATTTGATAAATCCTGTCTAAATTCTACAACGCTTATACCGTTCCAATCGGTTTGACTAAAGCTTTCTTTCTCAATCAATGAATTTTTCTGTACTGCGAGTTGTACTTACCGTAGTCCTGCTTCCCGTAAACACTGTCCTGATTCGGATAATCTGCAATCACAAGAGATAGTGTGACTTTAGGCCAATGAGCTTCACAGCGGAGAAGGAAATACGAAAGAGGCGAATGACTCAGACGAGAAAATATCTGCAAAGAAAAAGTCGCGCGAAATTTCAAGAAAGTGGCTTCGGATGAAGCAATTCATGAAAAAGTGACGATTCGTTAATTAATTAGAGTTAATTAATTAGAGTTAATTAATGTCAATTAATTTAAGAAAATATTTTTAGAGTTAGAAACAAATTTATCCGTTAAATAAATAGAAGTTAAATAGAAAAAAAAGAAAGACTTAACAAAAAGAAAGACGAATTAAAAATAAAATGAGAAATAATATAATGTGCTAAACAATAAGTAACATTTTGTACATTTTGCGTTCTTTGGGTGAAGTGTTACGTTTCACGGATATTTTGTAGTGAGAGATGGCAGGAGGCAGTGCTGCAGTGCTGGTGTCCTCATGAAAGGATTTCTTATCCGACTTTTATATAAATTTCTCATCACGTTGGGAATGAAAGTTCGTGAGACTCTACGCAACTTTTGTGTCGATCGCGAAAAAAAAAACTCGGCGAAAGATTCGGAGCTCTGCAGATCCGAATGCGAGAAGAATTTTCAGGGTTTCAAAGCTCGAAAATTCGATTGTACAATCAAACGAACTTGTGAATCAGATCGTTTCTCGTCTGAATCGAATCGTGCTGGACATTTATTACGGGGAATAGCTTCTGCGTTAACTCCACATGTCGCCCGGTAAATGAGAGCGTCAGAAAGAAGCGATTTTCAGGAACTCGTTTACTATCGAAACGAGACGTCAGTTATTTGTAATTTACGAAAATATATATAAAAGAATATTACACAATAATGTCACAAATTTGATTGAATTTTGAGAAGCCCAAATCTCCTAAATATTTATTTTTATCAATTTCTTCAATGGAAATTGTTAGAATAGAATTTAAAACACCAAACACGATACTATAAATCATAATATTCTTTTGGGTGCAAGCTTTTCCAACGAGGAAATTCAATAATTCAATATTCAGTGTCTCGACGGTAAACGAGTCCTTAAGGACTGCTCCAGTGGCCGTAGCGAAAGATTTAATGAGCATACATACAGAGTGTCGCAGTCGTTAACAGATCTCTCGATCGATTTCAAATCGCCTCGCGCCTCCGCTTCGAGAGATCTCCCGTTAATGGCGGGACGCTCTGTACAATGCGAGAAACAGCGGTGCGATGACAACGGAACGAGAGAGAGAACTAACCGTAAGGTTGTGTCGAGTAACCACCTCGGTGGCCTAAGTTGGCGTTAGAACGGTCGTCGTATGGGTTAGCAGGGGCATAACCGCCCCCGCCACCCGGCCCCGCCGCTGGCACTGCCTCCTGGTAATTGGCTGGACATGCATTACGTAGTATTAATAAGCTAGCTACATACGGCGTCCTGATCTCCTCGACGAGTACAGTCGAGCATGTACTCGATCATTTCGCGATCGCGGTCGCGATCGACCAATCCGTTCGTGATCTGACAATTCTTTCAAGTTCCGCCATTTTTTCTTGCCAACTCTGTGAAATTTATAATTCCTGATATCTCCGAAACGTTCACAATCAGTAATAACTTGAAATTTCAAAATGCTTATTCGTGTGAAATTATTATGTCAACGCTTCATTATGTATTAAATTTAATTAAGTTTTTGAACTTGCTGATAGAAGTTGTTACTGATCAATCTTTGGAGGAATTAAGAATTCAAGAATTTTAAAGATTGCCAAGAATAAATAGCGGGATTTGAAATTGTCAGATCACGAAGAGTTGATCGCGATCGATTAAATCCGACTCGCGCACTCAAATAAAAAGAATGACGGTGTGTTATAACATCCTTTCGAACGCATTTTTCGGCACTGTCGAGTTGTGAGAAATAAAAGAAATAAGGATATGTTACGCGTGCACGCGACAGTCTTCTCGCTTTTAGATTTCGTGACTTACCGGAAGACGGAGCTTTGCCGTAACTGTAGGGATCGTTAGCGCTGAACCCACCTGCAGAAGGAACTGACGATGAGCCGCCGTATCTGTTGTCCGGTGGTGCCGAAGGATACCCCTGGAATCGAGAGGGATGAAATAATCGCTGGTCGCTCTGATTGAAAACGATTATTTCAAATTAATATAAATTCTATTAATCTTGATGAAAATTGAAATTTTTAAATTATTTTGAGAATTTGGATATTTAATTAAAGAAAACTGCTGGATTTAAATAATTGAAAGTAATTAATGGCAAATTTATATTTACGAAGAATGTGCTGATTAAAAACAATTTTACTTTGAATTAATATCAATATCAGAATCCTATTCATTTTAATCGAATTAGAAATCTAAAATTACTTAAAAGATTTTAATATTTAATTATTACAAAACTAACAGGAAAATTTAAATAAAAAATTAATTTTTCTCGATTAAAGTGACCTGAGCAAGTAAGCTATCCTACAAAATTATCTTCTAAATAAAAAATTAAGTAATCGAAAGTATAGTATTTTATGTGCAATTCATAATACAATTAAATCTTTTACATATATTTAATTCTTTAGAATAAAAAAACAAGCAGTTTTAACTATATTTATACTTTCCTAGTTTTCCACGCTAATTACAAACATAATTAACCCAAGAAAATAAATGCTTTTGATAAAAAAGATATTTTAATATAAACTTTTTAAAGTCTATTTTTGCTCCAAAATAACTTTTTATATAACTCACTCCTTTATCGGGCCACTGGATTATGTTGAGTATATTATCTTAAGTTTAACTTACCGTCGTTTGCGCGTAATCAGGTGGTTGCTGATAACTTTCATATCCTTGATAGGATTGTGTGTAGCCCTGTTGTGAACCATATCCACCACCGCCATATCCTACTGACTGTTGTTGTTGCGGCTGTTGCTGTCCACCGTAAGCGCTATTTGAGCCTCCATAATTACCTTGACTGAATTGTCATACATCAAACAAAATATATCGTTAATATAGACGGTCCAGAGTTTTCTGCATCTCACTATTAACGTTTTGTTATTAATGTCATGAGTTTCTAAAAGCCTGTAGAACACTCCGCAAAGTAATAAATTTAGCAAATTTAAACCTTATAATTTAAGCATCATAAATATAACGATCGACAATAAACTTTAATATTTAATAAATTTGAGTATATTAAATGGGCTTTTATATATATATATATATATAACTTTTCTTTTTCACGGAAAACTCTATCATTTTTAAACATTGCAAAGCAACAAATAATTCTCTAGAAGCTTACCTGGAAGATTGAGTGGCGTAGCCATTGGACGGCTGTGAAGACGGCTGATCAAAACGTGGTCTTTTTGAGGGTCCGCTGGAGCTGGGCGGTCCTCCTCGTTTTGTTGGGCCGCCGCGGCCACTACCGAGTGGTCCCCTTAGACCACGATCTCCAAAACCGCCTCCACGGCTCGGTCCACCTCTACCTGATCCTCCTCTGAAATAAGGAAAATTTTGTCCCAATTAATAACAAATTTTAATACAATATAATAAGATTTAAAGATCTTTTTATTTCTCACATTAATGATTCTTTTTATTAATAAGTCTGCTTTTCAAGTTCTAACGGATAAATCTAGTAAAATGCTACCTTGGTCAAACTAAGGAAACCTGTTTAAGAAGCAAACAATAGATTTGGAATCTGAGATCTCTGAGATGAATAGAAACGGCACACAAAAGAAATTTGTAAAGGATCTTTGTTGCAGTGGCTTTAAATTTTGGAATTTTGCAGTCATGGAAACTACTACAGTGTTATACTACGGTTGTGTTACATATTCTATTATGATAATATCAAAAATAGCTTTTTCCAAGCACAAGAGATATAATTTCTTATAATTTTTTTATAAAGAATGCAATATCGTCTTTAAAAGTGCTCCTTTACATCACAATTTTAAGAAATTCAAGATTAGAGTTGTAAAAAAAAGGCTTTCGCGTACAGTATCATAATTCTAAATCAATTTCAAGTCATTCTACCTGGATCCTCCTCTGCCTCTGTCCATGCCACCGCCGCGACCACGGAAATTGCTGTTACCTCCGCGGTTATCTCCTCTGAAGTCTCCTCTACCTCTGCTGCGGAAGTTGCTGTTTCCACCTCCTCTGCCGCCGCCACCTCGTGGAGGACCACCCATTCCTAGTGGTGGTGGTCCACCTCCAAGTCCACTAGACATTCCAGGTTCTGGTGGTCTGTAATTAAAGATAAGATTTAAGCGTTTTACTTTAATTATTTTAAAAAATTAAGCATTTTCAACAATAATTACCCCGGAGGAAAGTGACCGCCTCGTCCACCTCGACCAGGAGGTCCACCTCTGCCTCTCATTCCAGGTGGACCACCTCTCGGACCAGGACCTCGTCCACCTCGTATCATTCCACCACCACGAGGACCAGGGCCACCTCTGTAACAATAAAATAATTTGATTAAATGCTCATATAATATTGTATTTTCTTATCTATCTGTTTGAGAACAAAGTAACTTGGAACAAATATTTGCACAGTAAAATTAGTACAAACTTTATCTTTTAACTAGTTACATCTTTACCTTCCTCTGTCACCAAAACCACCACGTCCTCTCATTAATCCTCCAGGGCCTCCACGGCCCCGAAATCCTACACCTCTACCACCAGGTGCTCCGTCCATTGTTCAAGCTTCCTGTAATGTTTATCATAATTATATAAGGTTTATTAAGCCTGAAAGCCCAATAACTAGAGAATCCTTAAAATATAGGTTCAAGCATCTGAGAAGAAATTTAGAAAAAAAAATCTTGTGTCGTTTTATTCATTGATTCATAAATCTACAAAGTATATTAAATCCTCAAAATATATATTATGTATTCCTATCTAACCAATCAAAAATACATGTAACATTTACTTCATATATTTTTCTACAGTGTATTTTTGTACACAACAATCTATATATTATTAACATCAACTGTTTTCTAACCGCTTAATATTACAAATGCAATTAAAATTACACTGGCGTAGTGCTGACTTATATTGCATGTACTTTTTTATTCAGATACAATACCGAGAAAAGCGGCAATACGAGACCGCACTGCACCGACGCTATTTACGAGATTCCGTAAAGAATGTTTTATTGAGGAATACTCGTGAATATTCGAAAAAAACAAACTCGAATGAATAACTGTACAAATATGAAACGCAATCCATTGAAGTAAAGATTTACTCACGATGAATAAAGGGATAAACAACCAGCTCATAAATCACACGAAGCTGAGAAACAAAATGGACGTTTACTAGGAGCGGAAGAGAAGCATCGACTTATAACACAACGCAAGTCAAGTTCGCGTCGTTCGCCTGCCAACAAAAAACCATTAACATTGTTTACACCTAGCGTTACACAAAAGTCTCTAGAATGCTTATCTTTTTAATTGAATTTTACATCAAGGGCAATATAAATCCTGTTCAGATTTATTTATTGGCTACAATTAAGGTAGGTGATTAATAATTATTAAATCACGCGTTATGGTTTGAAGAATATTATAGGAGATTGCAAGTTTATGTGGATATATCTTAAAGCCTGCATCAGACTATGGCTTAGTTTACATCGATTGTTTAATACGCGTACCAAATACTAAATCTGCTTCTTTGATAGGTATAAATCGTTTAGTGTAAAATCTACACCAATCAAAGAAGCAGATTTAATACTTGGTATGCGTACTAAACAATCGGTGTAAACTAAGCCTATGCAACTTGTTGCAGCAATTTTCAAGGGAGCTAGTAAGTTACTAGAAATGCTGTGTGCTGTATGGTGTATTTTTAGCAATTTACTAGATCGCCTGTAAATTGCTGCAACAAGTTGCACAATCTGATACAAGCTTCAGGCAATCGATCGCGATCTATTCCCCAGTGAAACGAGCTTAATGCCCAGAAGATGGCGTGCGTGACGTCGAGCGCAACTCCCGCGCGATCACATGACTAGCCGGCGCTACTACGATTGGCCAATAGTGGGGCATTTAAACCGACGAGCCGTTGCTTGTTTCAGCGACGAAAAGCAGCGGTTTGAACTGACGAAGTTCGGCAGAGCGGCGTATTCCTGTGGTACACGTAACGTGGTGTTGACGCGTTCACACGATTACTCTTTTTTTTTCTTCCGTCGTATCGCAACGGTTGCTCGCGCACACGCGAGAGTAAAAACCTATAACACGCGTCCTAACGACTCGCGTGTGTGCACATTTATTGTCAACGCGCACTTTTTCGCCGGAACGGTGGAAACGTGAGAGAGCCCGGCGATTTCGACGAACGGAAAGCGCGGCAGCGGTCTAGTGCACGATGTCGAAGGACGAGGAGAGCAAGATACCGAGCGTGATATATGACGCGAAAAGCGGCAAAAGTTATATGAAGGGCCGATTCTTCGGCAAGGTAAGAGATACAGCGATTTTTCCACGCCCTTGAGAGCCTTATTCTCTCGACCTTGTAAAGTCATGCTCGTTTTCACAAACTCTTTTCGATACGTATACATTCATCTTGTTCTTTCTGTCTTTCTTTCTCTCTCTCTTTCTCTCTCTTTCGGCATCCGACACTTGTTGCACTCAATGAAGATAAGACTTCGATATAATTTATGACTGAAAAAATCGCGACACAGTTAAATTTTGTGTTTTTTGCTCTTATTTTCCTTTCGGGATTTGAAAGACATCCAATGGATATCCAAATTGAGAGATCTGACTTGAAAAAATCAGATAAAATGTGATAAAGTTTGTCATTGTAGAAAGTCGTTTTAATATCTTTTTTAATGCAAAATTATATTTTTCTTTGAAGTTTATGAGTACTTCAATTAACAAAGAAAAGCTTTATGTCAGATAATTATTTTTAATATTTTTCTAAATTGTGGATCTCATACTTGACACTTATTGCATTTTCACAAAATACATTGTCATATAATGCAGTTATTGCAACTGAATAGTTTTAAATATTCTATTCATGTATTTACATATTTTATTCATTGTTTCTTGAATTTATTGATTACTTTATTTTATCAAAACTTAATTTAATTATAAAATATTAGTTGCTTTACTCTCTAAAATTTTGTTTGTGGAAATTTTTCTTTTACTTAAGATTGTTCTTATTTTGTTATTTCTAACTTTGTTTTTTGCAGGGTGGCTTTGCAAAATGTTACGAGATCACAGAATCAAAATCACATCACGTCTTTGCTGGGAAGATTGTACCAAAGTCATTGATGGCAAAAAGTAATCAGAGGGAAAAGATGACACAGGAGATTGCGATCCATCAGACTCTGAATCACAGGCATATTGTTGGCTTCCATGGTTTCTTTGATGATTCTCATAATATCTACATTATTCTGGAACTCTGTCGTAAAAGAGTAAGGCATTTGCATTGATATTTGCTTTGAGAATTTGATTGAGTGTGAATTTGATATATGAAAATGTATATAAATTAACATTTAATATTTTAGTCGATGATGGAATTGCACAAGCGCAGAAAAGCGCTGTCGGAATGCGAAACTCGATACTTCATGAAACAGATCTTGGATGGAGTCTTTTATCTGCACCAGCATAGAATAATTCATAGGGATCTGAAGCTGGGAAACCTGTTTCTGAATGATGATCTGCAGGTCAAGATCGGTGATTTTGGATTGGCCACCAAACTGGAACATGATGGTGAACGAAAAAAGTAATTAAATTTTATATATCTTTTAAAATTCAATTTATAGTTTATCTCCTAGAATTTAATTTTTTTCCCAGAATTGAATTAACATTTCCAAATTATGTTAATGAAGATTTTGAGTTTTTATTATTCAAAAGAAATTAGTTTTATTAATTTTATTTTTTTATATTATTTGGTTTATAATAATTTTTGTCTGATCAACATATATTTTTACAGAACCGTGTGCGGAACTCCGAATTATATAGCGCCGGAAGTGTTAACGAAGATTGGACACTCGTATGAGGCCGATGTGTGGAGTATCGGCTGTATAATGTACACACTGCTTGTGGGCAAGCCGCCATTTGAGACATCGACTCTGAAGGAAACATATGCCCGGATTAAGCAAGTGCAGTATGAAACACCGCAGCACATCAGCAAACCCGCCATAAATATGGTATCGAACATGCTGCAATTGAGCCCTTCAAAACGTCCCTCCGTTGCCAAACTAATGAAGGACTACTTCTTCTCTTCCGGTAAAGCAAATCAACACTTTATAAATAAAAAGAAATATAGATCTGCTCAATACTCATTTTCTTCGCAAAGCAATTATTTAAATTGATTTTTAGATAATATTAATAAATTTTATTAATTATTAATAGATTTTTATTAATTAATAGATTTTATTAATAAATATATTAGAGAAGAAAAAGAGATATTTAGAGAACAGCAGCATTATTGCTCAATAAGTATTTATTTCATGAATGATTAAGGAAGAAAAAGTTATAGGAATGTCAAAACTTCCAAATCTATTTTCTATCTTGTATGGGTTTGTCTAATTCCTGATAACAAATATTTACACATTAATATCTGTATTCTGGTTTTAATCGCTTTTCTTTTCTTTTTTCTTTTCGTGATTGTCGGAAGATCTGTATTATTTCACATATAGACAAAAATTAACAAATGGAACAAACAACCGTGCTTTATTTTATTATATTTTAAATAATTACAGGATACATGCCAACAAGTTTACCGCTTTCCTGCCTAACGATGCCGCCACGATTGGACATGCTCGAGTCACACTGCAACCGCAAGCCACTCAGCGAAATGAATCTCAACGGCCACTCAGAGCAGGACAATATGTCTAATCGAGTGACAAACAGCCCGCGGAAAAATAAAGTGAAAGATTCGAAATTATTAGCCAGTATCGAAGTTGTCGAGACGAACCACGTCAATCACGATCTCAAGGCCATGCTTTCCACACTGAGACATCAGCTGGGCGCCGTACTGAAGACCAAGCCTAGTAGAGACAGACAAAACGATCCTCGGCTTCCAGGAAACTCTTCAGCAGGTCGGTCTATGAAGAAACCAGCTCCTGCAGCTTAAAATCTCTTAACAGCACAGAATTTCTAGAATTTAATAGAATTAGAATTTAGAATAATTAGTTTCTGAAGAATATTCTTACAAATTCTGGTAACTATGTTTTGTTTCGTAAACTTTGTTAATTGTTTTCAATAAAATATGAATATCCTCTTTTTTTTAAATATGAAGAATATTCCCTTGTTTTAACAAATTTATCACGTTATTTTTTTTTTTAGACATGCTGTATGCAATTTACAAGATGTTGATACACAATTATTGCGCACTTGTATATAATTATGCACAGCGTTATTACATTTCATATTACTGCATGATACTGATGCATTTTTCTTGCAGACGAAATGACCGATCCGGCGGCGCATCCCGTGGTTTGGATAAGCAAATGGGTGGACTATTCAGATAAATACGGTTTCGGATATCAACTGTCCGACGACGGCGTTGGTGTGATGTACAATGACGGCACGCGATTAATCATGCTGGCAAACGGTTACAACATACACTACATCAATCGCGATGGCGACGAACTGTACTATACGATCAAGGAATTTCCAACCCATCTTGATAAGAAGATGAAGCTGATGAACTTCTTCCTAAAATACATGAACGAGCATCTGATGAAGGCGGGTGGCTCCATCGCGGTGAAACAGAGCGACTCCCTCTCCAGAATCCCATATATGCATCAGTGGTTCAGAACCCAGACGGCCGTGGTGATGCAATTGACTAATGGCACGGTGCAGGTGAGTGCTAATTAATCGGCGATCTCTTCAAATTTATAACTTATCGTTATCTCATATATTTGCTAATTAAATACTTTTCTAGATTCTTTGATTATCAATGTGTCACACACAGATTTTAAACGATATTGAAGCTAGTTGTTTATTTTTTATGAAGATTAAATCTTGTAGTTGTTTGTCATAAAGATATGATAATGTGCGTTATAAATAATAACGCAATCTAAATTCAGGGCTTACAGGATTAATTTTTTGCATAATTTACAATTTTTTATTATGTAAATTATTTATTTACTTATTGTCTGTTTTAATACGGTAGTTTCTTATTATGGTTACATTGTTAGAGATGTTGTATGCTTGTTCCATGATAAACAAATCTACTTATCTGCTTCGCAGGTCAACTTCTTGGATCACACGAAGATTATCATGTGTCCGTTGATGGCGGCAGTCACTTACATCGACTTGGATAAGAATTTCCGAACCTACAAATTCCAGACAATCCAGGAATATGGCTGCTGCAAGGGATTGGCAAAGAATCTAATGTATGCATACGAGAAGATCGGCTTGATGCTGGTGAGTCCTCACTGTCGATAAAATCGTGTTGAGGACAGTGAAAACGGGAGATAAATGCAGAGGAAACAAATAATAGGTGCCGCGCCTCTCCTGGCCCCATGAATTAACTTTAACGTACACAACATATATATTTATTTTTCTAATAGCGCTGTCTTTGTAACGAAGAAGATATATTGAGAAACGGGCGAACGGGGACTGCGATTACACGCGACATTCTGCCCCGCTTGTACGCCCCGATTTTTGTACAGACGTATAGAATTTTGCTAGGCAACCTTTTTCCCTTTTTCTTTTTTTTTTTTTAATCAGCGTGAAAGAGAGAGAAAGAGAGAGAGAGTGAGAAAGGCCGATCGCGCAACGAAGACGCTCCGCGAGAAGATATTCCATCTTTGCTAGACGTGCCATCCCCCGTTAGTACATTTATTTACAGCTAATAAGATAAACGTGTGACTGCCGAATTCTCCATTAATTTTGACTTGTATTCTTCAAAGACTCTTCCCTCATTTTCATTTAGACAGTCAATCTCTGATAATCGCCTCTGAATCGCACAATTGCAGAATCTCGCGCGAGAACCACTCATCTTCGTTGACTCGTAACGACCACGAAGGTGCTTTGCTCTGACTTTTCTAGTGAATCATGTTCAATTCCAGAAATCCCGCGCCGCGCCCACCGCGTAGAAGGAAAGAGGTGAACCGTGCAGTGCGGAGATAATCATGATTCTACGGAGTAGTGCAATCTAACGTCTGATATTTTCTGATAGCCGAGATGCGGGATACGTTAGAAAGCTAGTCTTCTGACTGACGCAGCGTTGCTTACTCGTCGCTTCCGATCGATGTCCGCCATCCGAGTGCCAGTTTTCCCGCCTCGTTCGAAGCAATGTGAATCGGACCGTCCGAGCGGTAGCTTTTTAAATTCATGAGTCACTCGAATTTAAATGCGTTTAGAGGATAAGATCGTTCGAGATAAGACATTCCAGAATTTTGTGTAACAAGTTCTGTCGCGTGTTTAGGACCTAATCTTTTCAGTTATGACGTATTGGTAATCAAAAGTGTGATTGTTAACAGAAATTGAAAAAAAAAACATGAAAACGACTAATTGAAGAAAACAAAAAAATTGAAAGAAATGTGAAACCGACTAAAAACTGACGATAAGATAAATTGTGGCATTATGTGAGTCTTTTTTGCTTTATCATTTAATGCGCGCTTTTTATGCAGTTGATAAGAACGACTGTTTTTCTCGTGTACTTTAATACTTTTTATACGGAACGAATTTTTTTTATGCGGAACGTCCAAGTTCTTTATTTCGGAAATTTTATATCAACACTTGGCTTTAACAACGATGTGTGACCTAAATTAAAAATTTGAAGGAAAGCTTTGGAATTTATTTTTCCGCTTACATTACATAGTATGCGAAATTGGATATAAAAAAAAATACATTATGAAGTTTATAAAAAATTTTTGAGATAAAAGAATGTGAACAATGAATGGCGATCTGTCGAATTGTAAAAGATTCAGTGTGCGATTTGCATTTTCTAACATTGCTTCGACCGATTAGAAGACATTAAAAGTACGAAATCAATTCTATCGAATTATCCCACGAAGACTATACGAAGACTATATTTTGCTTAATAGATATAAAACTATTTTTTTACGAAGCTAAATGACGACCAGTGTGTTAACGAAATTGATGCGTGTTGCTATACGGTGTTGTTATACTGCCAGAAAACTTCCTACATAATCCTTCATAATATTAGATTGTTGCAGAACTTGCGTCGACTTTTGTAGAATTATTGTAATTTCGGATCATTACGAAAGTTTCCGATTGTCTTTTTCTTCCACTGGCAAAATTGTGAACTCTATCGAAGACCTCACGCGCGATTTGGAATCAGAGAATCAAAGAATCTGATTAATGAAACTCCTAGGATCTAAGAAGTTGACAATTGCAGGATATGTCAAGGAATTTAACAGATTTATAAAATGCCTGAGAAAATCATGAATTGAATTTAAAGAAGGTTTATGAAAATATTCAAAGTTATTTTTGAAATTGTGAAGTTTGCAAACATGTCGATTTTTCAGGCATATTAGGATCCTTAGTCTTTGATAACTGATAACTAATTCATGTTGAGATATTTGTAAGCCCTTAGATATTTGTACATTCTTATATCCGTGATGTAAAAATTGTAATGCTTAACTGAGTTGACATTTCAAATAGTTCTAAGGCAATTCACAATCATCATATAATGATTTGAGGCCAGAAAAGGATCTTGCAAGCAAGATTCCAGTGACTCCGCGCCGAGGAAAGCGATGGAAACTCTCGTAAGGGTCTGCAAGAATCGGTTTATTTCTTATAAAGAGACTGCGCGGTAGAAAGTAGTTATATTCGCATAGTAAAATTAATGTAAGTGTATAACGAGACAATAATAGGTAATTAATCACATTAGGAACTATCCGAAGGAGAACGGTGTTAGCTTAGCGAATGACGTTGCGTTATGTTAAGTTACATATATACATGTCTTAGGGGGCGAGAAAACAATGATAGAGTATGTCAAGTAATTCAGTAATAAGTAGATGTACATATAAAAAAAAGTTGTTGGTGACCGAGAGAATTATAAATAAATGCAACGAAAGAGGGACCATGGATTGCGAGGTTATGTTTAGGTGAAAATTGTTAGGATAATATTTTTACAACGTGTCAATGTACAACACTGTTTTGAAGAAAGCACAATATAGAAATAAACTGTTTTTTTGTATAATTCTTCATTGAGAAATTCTCTTTGGCAAGTGTGATTCTATATATTATAAATTAGGATTTTTTAAGGCAAAGCTTTATGTAAATTGTTATTTACTTAAAGCAAGACATTTTTTTGTACATGCGACAACAAAAAGAAATTACAAGATGCTTAGCAATTAGAGAATCACTTTTCGTTGTTATATATTTTTTACAGGAACTTTCATATTTTACGCCAATTTGCGCCAATCACCTCACATGATAAAATCATAACTGTCGATAATAGGTAACGACTTTTTCGACCGTCGATATCAATGTACCAATAAATTTTAGATAGACGTTTCCCATAAATTCCACCGCGCGGTGCTTGTATCGCGTCAGAAATTTCCGCCCGCGGTTGGCGCGTATCACAGGGGGTTAATCAGTGGTATATGCATGCATCTTCGTAGTCGAGTAACGGTCTTTCGTTTACGTGCACGTTCTTTCTCGTTCCCTGTTGCCGTCGTTGTCGCCGTCGTCACCGGCACTGACGCATCTCACCCGTTATTGAACAACGTTATGGAATCCTGATAGCGCGCGCATCTTCGTTCAGCAAGCATTTGGAGATCAAGGTAAGTCTTTCGATCGAATACGCGCCCGGCGCCGGCTGAACTTGCGAAACGTGACTCAGTCCGGGAATCCGAAACAAAGCGCAAACGCGTGTTACGTAAAAGCGCGTGGACACTTCTTCGGTGACGTTAACCACGCGCGTCTTTTCGCCTGCAGCTAGTTAGCTGGCAGCGATAAAAACCGGGACGCTCTCACTGAGAAACGTGATTGACATAAACAGATCTTCAATCTTTTACGGTAAAAAAAGTTTGTGCGAAAATTTTTCATTTTTTTTTTAACTCTTCGGCAATTTTAGATTTCATAAGTATCATTCCATCTCTTTCTTTTAATTTTCTGCTGCGAATATAATAACGCGATGTATCTAACATTCAATGTTTTTATTATTGATTCAAGTATCGTATATATTGAATATTATGAAAAATTTAGCGGAAGTTGAGTAAAAGAGCGACAGAATATATTTTCGATAAAATTTAACAGCTCAGTTGTGTGACAAGTGTGAGAATTTACTATTTTCATAGCTCTGAAGTTTGTGCAAAGTAAATTTACTTGAAAATTAACTTATTTATGTATCTATTAGATTTTGTATTTACAGAATTGAATAAATTCAAATTTCTCTGAACGCAAACCACGAAGTACACGTTAAAAGCACAAACTTATCGCTTTTGATGGTTCACATTCTATAAATAGCTCTATCATTTCGTGATAAATAGCAGAAATTAGATTTTCAAAACTTGAAAAAAATTAAAACATTAAAGCGATGTGAATTGAATACAAAAATATCGAATTAGGTGAAACTTTAAGTGTTCTCGAGGACGTGCGCGAAAAAGGAGGACGTGTCCTTGAAAATCGTAGCGGCCGGTCGTCCTAAACGATTTGTGATCCATAATCAAGTAGTTTCGCCGCCGTTTCGATTATGCAACGCCCATTATGGCTCTTATCAGCACTTATTATATTCCCGTCTCTTGTGTTACCGTGTGATGCACGCACTTCTCGGTAATATCTCGGCGAGTTATTCGAGCCATTAGCGGTGTCGTAAATTACAAAGTAATGCCTGTATTGGCGAACGACATTTATACCCGTTTCCTCTGTGTGCGAAATAAGCTCGCGTGTATGTATCTGCGTGACGTATGTGCGCGGTATACGCAAGGTCCCGCGATTACTGTCTTTTTCATAGATTCCGCGATCAATTAGGCTTCGTCTTGACAGAAACGTTCGGGGTTTCGACACAGTGACCGACGATGTGTATACGTATGTATACACGTTTGACACGCAAGTGTGCGACGTTAATGACTCCGCGAGATTTCAGTTACAATAGTTGAGGTAAGATAAAGAAGAAAATATTTGTATTACAGGATGTGATTAAGCAAGTAATCAATGTTCAAAGTCTTTTGTTTAGAAACGTAAGCGGAAAAATAAAGAAATGAAAAGAAATACGCGGAAATCAAACTAGTGATCGTGTGTTAGTTTGATTGGAATAAATATTGAAATAATAATTCGAAACACGTGTTTCCATTTTTCACGATCTTTTTGTCTCTGGCGGGATTATTTTAAAAAAGTTTTTGTTTTCTATTATTTTTATTCGATATAAATATATTTATAGCCATGATTGAATTATAAATAATCGGAGATACAAGCGAGATCTCTTAAGAGTGAGGATCTTGATAAGGGAAATCTCGAAGATCCAAATAGATAATAAAATTTGTCAATCTTCAGATAAACGGAAGATGGCATTGTGAAAAATGCTGGAATATATATGAGACGATATGCTGATTACGCCTCGCGCGACGTACACGCACAGAATACGTCGAGCTTTGAAAAAAAAATTACATAATTTGCAGTAAGCGTAATTCAAGCAAATTCAAGCAAATCTGTTGATAATTGCTTTTACGTTGCTGGCGCTGCTCGCGAAATTAAAACGCGCAAGTAAGTTTTGAGTCAATAAGTGACCTGAAGAGGCAGGCTTTGAAGAAAAGTAAATATTTTAGCGATCGAGGGTCTCCATAAATCAGACTTAATATCGTGAAGCCTGAGGTCTGACCTTCAGAAAAAAAAAGCGATGACGGGAAGGAAATCAGAATTGCTATTTGCGCGGATCAATTATTGTGCACATATTTGCATACGAGGAGAACTATAGTCCGTATGTTGTTTTTCGCGTGAATATACATTTAGTTGATAGCGATTGCCTGATTTTCCTTATCGGGATCTAGGGATTGTTTGCGAAAAGAATATAGCGTTACACGTAACGTGTGATACAACGGGTTAAATAATAAAGTAACATGTATATTATTGATTAAATATTGAGATATCAACAAACTTCACTAAATATTTTTTCTAGATTAATTAAATTTGTAAAGAATAAAATATATTAAGAAACTTTATACGCGTGTGCGTTACTATTGAAGTCTAATTAACAATAAAGATTAAGCGGCTGTTTTAATAGCTGTAACGTTTTTAATCATTCTAACAACTTCGTTTAGAAATAAACATTCGAACACTCGCTTTTTCGAATTAATTTATAAAATTGATCAAGCTTTTCATTAAGTGGAAAGCGACGCTGAGAGAGGCGTGCCGAATAGATCAATAACGCTTTCGTGTTATCAACGCAGTGGAACAGACGCGTTAATTCAACACGACGTACGAATTGCAATTCTTATCGGCTGCCATCGTTACATCAACGATAAATTAATTTTAATTGACTATTACGTAACGAGCAATGTAACGGAATTAAATGTACGTTAGAATGCGACCGAGACAATCGCGAACAGATTGGCGGATCCACGCCAATTTATCAAATTTAGGAGACAATTTGTTCAACGCTAAATGCTCGTCATTATATTAAACATATGTTTTTTAAACAAATTATTTTATATAATAATAAAGTAAAACATAAATATAATATTATAATTATACATTAATATATATATTCTTGCAAAATTTAATTTAATATGATTAATTCCTAGCTTAAAAAGTGTTCGTAAACTGCGATAATAAATACCGCGTAATTCCAAAAATATATTATTGCATATTAAGAATAATGCAAAGTATTTTGAACAACCGATCACTTCGGTTAGTCGTACAATTACACGTCGGTGTAATCAGATACTCGAATGAGAAATTAACAGAGACAGCACAATCGAGTAAAACTCTTTCCGAGTTTTACGCGATTATTTGCTTAGGCGACGAAAATGTGCAATAAAAGTGCGACTATTTAGTAGCTTCACTTTCTTATCGCAGCTCGACTGTTTGGGCTAATTCCCGTGGATCGCTCGCGCATGGCATATCTTACAGTCACGCTTAATTAATTGCCTCGATAATATTCTGATAACGCGTGTCCCGAGATCTCGGGGAAAGAGGTGAATACTCCGATTATGGATCGCACAGAGATAGCATGTGATAACGCCTCAGAAAGAGAATGACGCGAAAGTGGCAATTTAATTAATTCACTTTTAATTCGCTTGCCTCAGATAAATTCAACATAAATGAATTAAGGATTGCCAAATTGTAGAACTGTTTATTACAGTACATTTTGTCAGATCGAAAACCATATAACAATTGGTCTTTTATGTTACGTTCTTTATATTACGTTATATTTTGCAATTTTGTGCATACTTTTATTCGTTATCTCTGTTATGCGGAGTTTTCCATATAATCACTGAATTTTTGCATTTAATCTATTTGTAACGGCTAAATTGCACTGATTCTGGATAATAATTAATATGCTAACGTTGAAAAGCTTGTAAGTATTAAAAATGAAAGTTGTATATAAATACGATCAAAATCGATCAAAGTCCAAAAAAACAGGCAAATATACTTTGTTATACAAAGCTTTATTCGAGATATCGATAAATAATTTATGCTTATTTGCGGAGATTATATATTTACACAATTTTTTCTAGCTTTTGACATTTTAAAATTTTTAATTATTTATGAATTATTAGAATATTAGTTCTGTATTAATTGTCGCTTTAATAACTTTTGGAGGAGTAAAATCGTTGCTTCAACGATTATTTCAACATCTGAGAACTTTAAACGAGAGATTCGATAAAGAAGCGGCGAGGGAGGGTGTTTATTTTCACAGGTGCCGCGTTGCGTAAACGCATCTGAAAAATTACAGTCTAAGGTAAGCGTTTTTACATTGTCATCGGTGAAATCCTGAATCATTGTTTTTAACAGTCGATAAAGACTCGTTTTTATCGTAGCTCTGTTATCGAAACTATCGTTGCACAATCCGTTTTCAAGTATTTATTTCACAATGCACAATGATGTTTAAATATATTCTAGATATATCACTCTTTAAACACGACTGTTCGATTTCATATTACGTTCAAGTTGTAAAATTGTTCTATAAAATCCATTTTGAGGAATGTATTTTATACAACAATGTGATATTTTTAAGAAATATTGTAAAATTTTAAAAAAGCCGACAAAAAATAGCGTAAAATATGAAATATCTTATTATTTTATTTGTTTATTTTTTGATATTGAGATTTTTAAGGATAAAATTGAAAGATAAAAGTTGAAATTCAATCAATATAATCAAATGTATATTTAATCGCGTTTCAGTATTTCGCATATTAATTATACAATTTTGATTACAAAATTCCGCATAGCCCGAGATGCTCGAGTTAAAAAGGGAGCAACTAGAATTAGAACTTGCGACAGAATCTGCAATTTCTCTTGCATCTTGATCTAATCTTATCTAAGCGCGTTATTCGCGGAAAGCGCTATGGAGTCGGAGATAATATCTCTCGCTAATTACTTAATATTAGGTAACAAAGTGTAATGGACCCGTTATCCAAGCCGCGGGAGCGGATTAAATTTGCTCCGCGATCCGTTAAATTTCCCTGCGGGCTTCGCCCATCTCGCGCGGATTAAATTCTCCGTGAATGTACATGTACACACGTTTCTCCGCGCGTATATTTACGAATAACAGATTTGTGTATACATTTGAATGAGATTGTAAATAAAACTACGGTTAATGTGTCGTCGTCGTCGTCGACGATGCGAATCTATTCAAATTCGCAAATGAGAGGCACTCGCTTTCGAGCGTCTTGGAGTTACGCGTTCAGGTTTATCTTTCTCGCTCGGAAATGTTGTGATCGGTGACAGCGCGTTCAATTCGTTACGAAATTCTCGATCGACAAAGTAATCAGAGATTCTCACAAGATTCATCGTTGTCGGAGTAATTTGAAATTGATTGCTTATTTATTATTTTCGATTGAGTAAATATAAATTAATTGAGTGAATATAATTAATGTAGAAGTTTATACATGAAGAATGACGTGTAACAAATAGTAATGTAAAATATCAATATGTAAAGCTCGCTAGAAAGTGAAACAAAGAAAATAAAAATTAATATAAAGCTTGTAAATAAAAAACTTGATCAATCGCAGTTGGCTTAAAATATTAATTATTCAACATTTGGGAATTTGTGTAGAAATATAAATGCCAACCATTTAATCGCGTTTAATAATTTTACTATTAGATTTGATTGAATATGTGCAAGAAAACAGATTATAATTTTTTTATCTATTGTTGAATAATTCGTCGATTTGTTACACAAAAATTTGTATATCTTAACAGTTGTGTTAAATTTACGGAGTTTGTTTTAACTGATTAGTTTGTTCAAATGGAAGAAGAAAAAAGCACTTGTCTACAGTCCTATACATGAAATTGTAATAAACTAGATTATCTTATCTGCTTATGCTAATTAAGCAAATTTCTGCGAATACATACAGTCAGTGTATTTAGTGAGGTTAAATATAACTTGCTAATCCGTCGACGCGCACTGTTATAATTTATAATTTTCCTAAAATTTGCAGTCGGAAATTATATTATTGTAAATTGTAATTAGAAACTTGATCTTGATTTTTGGAGAAAAGATTTACATTGCGGTGACTTGAATTGAAATAAAAACTAATCGTTTGTTTAATTCTTATGTTTAATACTTTGAAATGCGAGTTCTGAGGTAAAAATACACGAGTGAAAAAAATACATGTCTAAAAAATTTGCAGCGAAACACAATTTACATATTTTAAAATAAAATAAATAAAATTAGAGTTTGAATAGAATCTCATTTCCATAGAAAATAAAAATCTGAGACAAAATTACATTTTTTAAATGAATACCAAAGAGAGGTTCGAGAAAGAGGTTTGCATTGGAATTGTATTCGTAACGAAATTGTATTCGTAACGAAAAGAATATTTTTACATATATTATATATTGTTATCGAGTTAAACGTTAGAATATTGTAAATAAAAATAATATGTGAAATGAAATGTAAAAGCATTGCGGAAGATGTTTCGAAAGATTGAAAGATCACTCGTGTGGCGAACATGAGGAAAACATGAAAAGAAATATTGAAATGAAGAGGGATGACGATAAAATTAGAAATTAGAAAGGGACGACGAATAAATTAGAAATGATAATCAAGGAAAATTATCGGAAGCTCAATGTATTTGTCGCCGCTTTCGCTTAATGAGGAGACGTTACGCGTTTACGTGCAATAATGCGAAACGCGCGCGCCGTGCATGAAAATCATCGAGAATCGATCATATCGTGACAATACGGTGTATCGCTGATAATAACACATACCTGACTTGCTGCGCATAATGGAGATAAGATACCATCAGGACTTTATCAAATTTTGACCCCCGTGTAACGAGAGAAGAGACGACAGTGACGGCGGCGGCGAATACACGCGACACACGTAACACATGCGATACGCGGCGTTTTTTTGTCTTCTTTTTTCACGAACAAATATCGTCGAACTATTTAATCGCGGTGTGTGTGAGTGCATGTACACGAAAGTTTATTATATTTACAGAAGAAGCTCGAGTGAGACGTCATCATGGACGGAAAAGTGTACACGGAGAGAGTGAAGAATCCCCGAGCGAGCGCCAACTTCCTCAGCGCCCTCACGTTCTCGTAAGTACGAAAAGCACGTCGAATATCAATCGTGCGGCACTCGTTTGATAGATTTTTCGATAGAAATAGAGAGAGAAGATAGCGAGAAATTAAGCGTGTAATGTTTGACAATCTCGAATAACATATGCAAAGTCAATATTAGATTGGTAAATTTTTATTGAATATAGGTCTCTCATTAGAACGGAATAGGAATACAGATATTATAAACGAGAACTAATTGAGACAACGATTTTATCACTCGACGATTTTAAGGATTCAATTTCAGAATACAAATATATGATATCGTGTATATTTTAATTGCAGAGGCTTGAAATTTAAAAGTAAATTGCAGTAAGTTGAGTTAAAATCATTTAGGGTTTTAATGCCTATTTTTATTGTTATTAAAATGTCTTAAAAATATAAATAATTTTAATTAAAATACAAGATTAAATTACAATTTTACCTTTTATTTTCTTAATTTAAAAAAAATGAAGAAAATAATAATTGAAAAATCTATTTTGGAATACTTTATATTTAAAGAGCAAAAAAGGCAAGACTGTTTATTTTTAAAATTTATTAATTCAGATATGCTGTTTTGCTTTAGAATAAAACACTAATTTTTAATTTTATATTAAAACTTTTTAGTATTCCCGGAAGAACTATTTTTCTATCATTCGTAAAGTCCACTACTTTTATTATTCTTCTTCGAATTTCAATTCCTTAGCAAAAAGATAAAAGTGCAATTATTTTAATGTAAAAATTATTAGCATTTTAGTCCGATTTCACACTTTATGTGATATTAATTTTTTTGCCATCGGATTTCGCCAATCCTATTGAAATTTGAAGAAATTGATATTATCTTGCACTTCGATTAGATATCTTGTACTCTCATACAGCATCTAAGTATTTTCAAGAATAATCGTCGCAAATAGGCGCGCAAATAGACAGATAAGAAGCTGGTTACACTTTATTTTTCCTGTTGTTCGCGCACATATGACCACATGTCTATTAGTAGACACGTTAAATCGGCTTCAAATGAGTGATAAATGAACTATTCAACGTCAATTATCTCGAAATCGAGCCCGCAGATAAGTCCGGTAAACATCGAGACTATCTTGGATTATCTACTGGATATTACACAGCGTTAAAATTTTTTTTTCTCTATCTTATTGACGCCGATATTTACCTAATCTTATATTGTCTTACATTGTCGATATTATTTTATTCTCACTATTTCAACAATCAAAACGCGGAAATCGAGAACTCGATTGAAGTGATTCTATTTGAGTTGTCTCTCTTATCGATGAAAAATGAAACAATTTAAACTTACAGTTTCCGATGTCGCATTTCACATAGCGATAGATAAATTTGTAACGAATTATTTATTCAGAAAAGGAGAGGTTTTTTTATCAAATGCGCCGTTGAGGACTACTTTTACAAAATCGAACACCTAGAAAGTTCTCGAATTACACGCTAATTAATTAAAGAATTTTTTTATTTATTAAAATAAAACATTTTTATATTATTGAATATAAATTTTTTAAGTTTTTTTACATCTTATTTTTATTATCTCTGTTTTTGCTTCTTTTTGACGATTTTTAATTTTATTATTATAATACGTTGAGTTTTGTAAAAACCGTCCTCAATTGTTAGTTTCAAACTGTTGTTCATGTTGTAAAGTTAATTCCATTTTTTCAAAATTTGAAAAAAAAATAATAAGAATTCTGATTGCTTTCCGAAGAGTTCTAAAGTTTCTCATCAATTTTAGAAAAAGTTCTTTCGCCTAAAATTGTGAAAACTTTATTCAAAAAATCAAAGATCGACTTTACGCTTCCCTTTTGTGAAAAATTGCAATTTTTTAAAGTTCTAAAAGGAGTTTTGCTCAAGAAACTCGAGAAAATCGAAATGAAAATGAGGTTCCGTGGTTTCTAAGCCCCGAAATAATTGAGCTTTAGAGAAAAGAAAAGAAAGTAGCGCAAAGCGGACAGATTGCGGACGGTTTTGTGCGAGTAAAACGTGTATGCTTTGCTTTCTTTCTTCGCAGTTGGATTCTACGCACTTTCTGGGTGGGTTACCGCAGAGAACTTGAAGTAACTGATTTGTACACACCGCTTAAAGAGCATACAAGTGGTATTCTTGGTGTTAAAATAGCGGAGGCCTGGGAGAAAGAATACGCGGCGTACAATCGTCGGCTGGAGCGACGCGGCGCCGGAGAAAAGAAGATCGACCAGCCCAGCCTGATGAGAGTCCTCGTCAAGTGCTACGGCGCCAAAGTCATGCTGTATGGAATGGTTCTGGCCGCCATGGAGATCCTGCTCAGGTATACGTGAATTCCCGCGGGTATCCTAATTAAAAATATCCTTCGCAGAAATCACTCTCCAGAATCGCGTCCGAATTTGCAGACGATGTTTTTTTTTTTTTACGAGACGGTAAAACGACACGAAAGAGAATCGTGGCTTAATCTTGTGAGATTAAATTAATCTTGAAACTGCGACGGAGAATACGACTTTCTTAACAACAAGGTCTTTTGAAGTATGGAGTTTTTCGAGTTCTGAATTTCAGATTTCGAAATCTTAGCACCGTTAAGATTAACGTTCAAGCAGAAACCTGAATCGTTGAACAGATTTTATTTTCGGTTTACGTCGCTGCATCGATTTTTCGCCAAATCGTAGCGTCTTGAAAATCCGAACTCGCGCGCGCACTATTTATGAATGACGGAACTCGTTCGTGTGCGTTCGCGAATATGTGTAGCGTACGCGATTGTTGCTTATTACGATTAGAATCGCAATTATCTTCTCCGCTACACGTGCTTCGCGAGCGAAGATCAGATGCCGCGGAAGGCCAACTGATATCGTCGACTATTAATTCAGAATTTATTTTTGCGCATTGTGTAATCGATTTCTTTAAATTAACGGCAAAGTTCTCTCTCGGGATGCACAGATTGAGTCAGCCGATATTCCTGGGTCAGTTGCTGCGCTATTACAACACGACGGATGTCGACCAGCTGCACGCGTACCTGTACGCCCTCGGCATCATCCTGTGCTCCGCCGTAAACGTGTTCATCATCCACCCGTACATGATGGCGATCTTACATATGGGGATGAAGATTCGCGTCGCCTGTTGCTCGCTCATCTACCGGAAAGCGCTGAAGCTGACGAGGACCGCGCTGGGCGAGACGACGATCGGCCAGGCGGTCAATCTGCTGTCCAACGACGTCAACAGATTCGACATCGGCATTATATTCCTCCACTACTTGTGGATCGGACCGCTCGAGACCATCATCATCACGTACTTCATGTACTACTGGCTCGACATCGGATTGTCCGCCATTATCGGAGTCGCCTCGCTGCTGATGTTCATCCCGCTGCAAGGTGAGAGACACTTGCCACCTTTGATGATGATTTTAGCATTGTGCAGAAGTGTCATGATCGAGCGACCGAGTGCAAAGATAACTTAATTCCGGGCTTAGATTGCGCTGTTAAAAGAGTTATCTTTGTGATACATATTATTCATTATCGTGATTTTATGAGGGAAGCTTAATTTCCATAAGAAAGTTTGTTTTTCCTAATTTTTTAAATTTTAATTTTACATTTGAAGCTTTTAAACGCCGATTTTAGAAATTGCGGTTCCTCGAATTCTTAAATTTCTAAATTCTGAATTCCAGATTTTAATAAATATTGATATTTTTATTTATTTCTTTTTCTATTTTCAACATATATTTTTACTAATCGAACACTAAGAATAAAGACACAATGTTCTTTACGTTTTCTTTATTCAACACATCTTGCTTGATAAATACTTGATCGTTGTTGTTTCTAATTTATTATTTTGCGTCTCGATCTCGGAATTCCTCAGGCTGGCTCGGCAAAAAATCGTCGGAACTAAGATTAAGGACCGCTATTAGGACCGACGAGAGAGTACGATTGACGAACGAGATCATCAGTGGAATTCAAGCTATTAAGATGTATACCTGGGAGAAACCGTTCAGCGCGCTCATAGAAAAGGCGAGAAAGTGAGTATCATCGCTTACATTGATTACACTTATTTTAATTGCGCGTTCAACGATTTTTTCGTTGAGAAAAAAAATTCGAAAATCTGCAAAACACATTGTCTTTGTAGATAAAAATAAATAAAATCTCAACAGCGGTATCTTAATTAAAATTGCATCAATTTACTAAAAATTATTTTATATTATTATAAATTCATGAATTTTTTCACGGAACATTTTGGATATCTGATTATTTTTATCGCACGTGTCGAAATTTATTTTCATCGATCATCTATCAAATTTTATCATCCTAAAGTTTTGAGGCGCTTGCTTTGTTTGTACTTGAAGAGTGTTGATACGATCGAACGAGATGATAACACTTTCTGATTACTTTTATTTTTTGTGCTCATATTTCCATAATTTCAAGTATCGATACATGCAGCCTTTTAATGCCACGATAGTATAGTTGTTTTTTTTCAGATATCTTGTGGGTTTAAGTGTATTAATTTAAATACGTTAAATGTGTCTGTTTTTTGTAGCAACTTTATTAATTATGAAACTTATTATTTTAAATATATTTTAATATATATCTAATGCATTTGGATATAATATATTAATATACTAAAAGAGAGTATGTCGAATAGCGATCGAATAGCGGTCGAATAGCATTTTCTTTGGCTAACAAATAATTCGTGATTATTTGTCGTTCATTGCACATGTTGTTTAGCCCGCTATTTTCATGTTTCATTGAATCTGAAAAAAAAACAGCCGTATTTTTTCGAGTCGAAAAAGGTTGAATCCTGAAACAGGATTGGGGAAAAGAGACAGAGGGAACTACGAAGCTTAATTTGCTCGCAGGAAGGAAATCAACGTCATCCGAGGAACTTCGTACATCAGAGGTGTCACCATGTCGTTCATCATCTTCTCGACGCGAATGTCGCTGTTCATCACGGTGCTTGCGTACGTGCTGTCCGGCTTCAAGATAACGGCGGAGAAGGTGTTCATGATAACCGCTTATTACAACATCCTGCGCACGACCATGACTGTTTTCTTCCCGCAAGGTGTGTACACGTCATGTTTACTAATTGCGTGGCACGCGCAATTAACAAATGGACATTGTTATTACTGTCGGCGACGTCGACGAGTGGCACGGTGCTATAAAACTTTCCCGTATTTCTTTCTTCATTTCCTTTTTCCTTCTTATCTTCCTTACTTTTATTTTTTTTAATCCGTTTCTCTTTTTTTATTCGTACCTTTCCTCCTTTTCATTATTTTCCCCCTTTTTCTATTTTTATCTTTCTTCTCGCTTTTTTAATTTATATATCCTTTCTTTGCTTCTTTTTTTTTAATATACTTTTATCATTTCAAACACCGTGAATTCATTTGCCGCGCAATTATTGCGCACAATTAAACTCGTTAAAAATCTTCGCTGAATTATTTCAGATTTATTCCGTTTCGTCTATTTGTATTTCGTAATTCGCAGGAATAACACAAGTGGCGGAAGCCATGGTGTCCATAAGAAGATTGCAAAAGTTCATGATGTACGACGAGGTTGAGCCTACCGAAACCGAGAAGACAACGAACAATATTATGGAGAATAACGCGCAGGAGAACAAGGAGAACTTCAAGCATAACGCAAATGAAAACGGGAAGGAGAACGCGAAGGAGAACGCGAAGAAGAATGTAAAGGAGAAGAATTTAACTGACGAAAAGAAGTCTAACCAAGTGAACATGGAACAACCAGATAATATCGAGCACCGCATCTCCATCGAGAACGGCAGCACAAAGTGGCTGGAGGACGAGAAAGAGGAAACCCTGCACAATATCAACATAAAAGTGCGTCCTGGCGAATTGATCGCCATAGTCGGGCAGGTCGGTGCGGGCAAGAGCAGCCTGCTAAATGTTTTCCTGAAAGAACTGCGTCTGCAGGAAGGTTCAATCCAGGTATGTTCGCAATCCTTGGCAATTAATGTCAAATTAAATAAATTTCAATAGATGAATAAATTGTTTTATCTGAAAATAAATATAATTTGTCTTTCTTTGACATATTGAAATTTTTATGCAATTGCTTAATGAAATTAAATTTTTATTATTATAGAAAATAATTTCTAATGATAATTATAATGGAATTCTTTTTTTTATTGTATACTTATTTTTAAAAGTAAAAGAATATTAAATTGTATTAATTAATTAACGTTTATTTCTGCAGATTTTAGAGTCTTTGCTTTTGGAAGAAAATTTTCATTTATAAATCACTTGCGTTTTTATTTTATCCTTAAATTATTACTCTTTCGCAGATTAATGGCAAGATTGCCTACGCCAGTCAAGAGCCGTGGCTGTTCGCCGGATCAGTGAGACAAAACATTTTGTTTGGCCGCAAGATGGATCAGAACCGATATGATCGCGTGATCAAGGTGTGTCAGTTGAAGAGGGACTTTAGGCTACTACCTTACGGCGATAAGACGATCGTAGGCGAAAGAGGGATCAGTCTCTCCGGTGGTCAGCGTGCAAGGTTAGTTTCCTGAAATCCTTTTTACTGAGAGAACGAAATATACAACCAATTATAGTATAAAATTCTCGTGACTGTAGAATTGAATAAAATGTGCAGAGTTCAACATTCTAAATTCTTTCTTTAAAATATAAGATTTCAATGTATTGCGCTAAAGAAAAAATTCTAAAATTCTAGACCTATTAAATGGTGTGATATAAGATTCTAAGACATAAAAATGAATGAAATGTACATTTGAATGTATCACATCATTTGACAGGCCTAGAACTTTACTGCAATGCATTAAAATCTTATATTTTGAACAAAGAAGTAGTATAGAATTCTAAAGTATAAGATTTTAATCGCAGTAAGGTTCTAAACTTGCTAAATAATATAAGATTCTAAGGTCAGAACACTTAACAAAATGTACATTTACATTAACTTTTTTAAGAGAGGAATCTCTGTTAAAGTAAAACTGAATGCCAGTATTGTGCGAAATCAAAGCCGCATGCGAATTGCGTTCAACCTTCTTAGAATCTTTCGCATTACGTAATCTCAAAGATGTGTTGGCTCCGCATACATTGATAAAACGTTGATGTTTGCCAGAATAAACTTGGCTAGAGCCGTTTATGCCGAGGCCGATATATATCTCCTGGATGATCCTTTGAGCGCTGTTGATGCTCATGTGGGCAAGCACATGTTTGAAGAATGTATCGACAAGTATCTACGCGGAAAGACCCGAATTCTCGTGACTCATCAGTTGCAATATTTGCACAACGTCGGCAGAATTATCGTCCTGAAGGATGGAGCCATCCAGGCTGAAGGGTATTACAATTTTCTCCTTTTGTCTATTTCATTTATCTTGTTCCAATTTTTTTTTGTTGCTCAATTGCTTTCAAATATCATAAATAAAATTTTGAAATCAGACTTTGAATGTCTTTAATTTCTGTAAAGCCTTTGTATTCTTGCTTCTTTAATTTTTAATATCTTTATTATGCACTTGAAGTTTTTCGTCCTTCCTACATTTTTATTTTTAAGTTTCTTAACTTTACGATTATAGTTTTATCATTTTATGTGACAATTGCTTTCTTTTTACTAGCACTTATGACGAGTTGGGCTCCATGGGAGTGGACTTTGGTCGGCTGTTGGAGAACCAAACGGAAGAAAAGACCTCTCGACCCTCCTCGGCCCCCGCCAGCCGGAGCAACTCGTGTACAGCTAGCATTACGTCATTGAGTTCCTTTATGACGAACGATACTTCGAAACAGGATGAACCTGATGAGGTAATTCTAAAGCGATCGTTAACGCATATGTTTTGTTTTTTAATTTAGAATTTCTCTTATCGTATATTTTGTAAATCCTAACAAAATTAATTTAGATATTTTGCATTTCTCAAGTTGTATTATTGAATCGAAATAAGTATTCGATAGTTATTTAATTTCACGTTTGCGATATCGTGAAAGAGAGGGCTTCTTATTCGGCGGACTTTTCAATTTTATTGTACGCTGAAATAATTTTCAGCTTTAATGACATAAATTACGATAATGTCTAATTTTAGATGGCTGAGATGCGATCGACGGGCAACGTTTCCGGACAAGTATACGGCGGCTACTTCCGCGCCGGCGGCAACTCGTGCATAATATCCCTTGTCGCCATGCTCTGCGTACTGACGCAGCTGGCAGCCAGCGGCGGCGATTTCTTCATCGCCCGGTGGGTCGACATAGAAGAGAATTACGTAAGTTGCTAAAATCTCAACCTTTCGTTCTCACCAATTCGTTGCACTATTAATTCTTATAAATTTATCTTGCAGATGAACGAAACTGATAACGGCGTCGCGGAGGACGCGAACAGTCCGCTCACTCGCATGCAGTGCATCTACATCTACACCGGCGTCACTGTGCTGACAATCATCGTGACTCTGATCCGCTCGTGGGCCTTCTTTTGTACGTGCATGCGTGCCTCCATACGTCTGCACGACAACATGTTCCGCAGCATCAGCCGCGCGACCATGCGCTTCTTCAACACCAACACATCGGGTCGCGTGCTCAATCGCTTCTCCAAAGACATGGGCGCTGTGGACGAGGTGCTGCCCACCGCGCTCATTGACTGTCTGCAGATCGGTCTGTCGCTGCTCGGCATCATCATCGTGGTCGCGATCGCGAACGTCTGGCTGCTGATCCCCACTGTGATAATCGGCATTATCTTCTACTACCTCAGAGTTATCTATCTCGCCACCAGTCGCAGCGTCAAGCGACTCGAGGGCATCAGTGAGTATTCGTTAAACCTTTTCATTAGATTTTCGATAGGAAGATAAAATAGATATTTCACGAAATTAATCGCATTAAATTGATGGATTTAAAATTAAGATCGTAAATTCTTCATTTTTCTCAGCTCGCTCGCCGGTCTTCGCTCATCTGAGCGCGACTCTCCAAGGACTGCCGACGATCCGCGCGTTCGACGCGGGCGACATTCTCACGAAGGAGTTCGATCGTCACCAGGACCTCCACTCATCCGCGTGGTACATCTTCATCGCGTCGTCGCGCGCTTTCGGCCTCTGGCTCGACGTCTTCTGCGTGGTGTACATCGTGTTGGTCACACTGAGCTTCCTTATAATGGACAATTACGGCCGCGGCTCGATGGACGGCGGTTACGTCGGCCTGGCGATCACCCAGAGCATTGGTCTTACCGGCATGTTCCAGTGGGGCATGCGTCAGAGCGCCGAACTCGAGAACCAGATGACCTCGGTGGAGCGCATCCTCGAGTATAGGTGCTTATTTTCGCCGTGGATCTCTCTGCATCTTTTGTTATTCGATATTTTTCGACGTGAACAAAAGGCAAATTCGCTTGATTTCTCACATTTCATATTAGAATCCAATATGGCCACAAAGAATCTTCAATTATGATTTTATATCTTTCGCCGTCTAAGATTTCTCCACGTTTTTCCTCTAAATGTATCTAGATAAATTTATATTTTTATATCGATAAAACTTTGACAAGAAATTTAGAATATGGAAGTCTACCAACTGCATTCCGATCTCTTCAATTATTATCAACATTCACTTTCCAGCAAAGTGGATAGCGAGCCTCCGCTCGACAGCACGCCGGAGAAGAAGCCCAAGGCCGAGTGGCCAGCGGAGGGCAAAGTCGAGTTCAAAGGCGTGTATTTGCGCTACGCGCCGCTGGAGCCGCCGGTGCTGAAGAATCTCAACTTCATCATCTATCCGCGCGAGAAGATCGGCATCGTCGGCCGCACTGGCGCCGGCAAATCGTCCCTGATCCAGGCGCTCTTCCGCCTAGCGGATGTAGAGGGCTCGATCGAGATCGATGACGTCAACACCAGCGAGATCGGTCTGCACGATCTGCGCTCCAAGATCAGCATCATCCCGCAGGAGCCGTTCCTGTTCTCCGGCACTCTCCGACGGAATCTCGACCCCTTCGACTTGCACGCGGATCATCCGCTGTGGCAGGCGCTCGAGGAGGTCGAACTGAAGGAAATGGGCTTGGAGGCGCACATCAACGAAGGCGGCTCCAATCTCAGCGTCGGCCAGCGGCAGCTGGTCTGCCTGGCGCGCGCCATCGTTCGCAACAATCCGATCCTCGTCCTAGACGAGGCGACCGCGAACGTGGACCCGCGCACGGACGAGCTGATTCAGACGACGATCCGGCGGAAGTTCGAGAAGTGCACGGTGCTGACGATCGCTCACCGACTCAACACCGTCATGGACAGCGACCGCATCCTGGTGATGGACGCCGGCAGCGCGGTGGTGAGTTTTTTTTTTACTCTTTTCTTTATGTAGAGTAGTTTGTTGCATGAAAAAGGTGGGATCGTGAAATCCTCGCTCGTTTGATCGCAAAGAATTGCATAATTGCGTTGCACATATTTTTGAATATTTTACTTTTTTATTAGTTTTAAATATTTTCTAATTATATATGGCTTTAATTATTCTTGCTTTGATGGTTGCTTTCTATGTGAAGTGACCTAATATAAATATCCCAGTGGCTGTGCATTTGAAAAAGTTAATTATTGAAGTTATCGTTTTTTAAATGAAAATATTTATTTTTCATCTCTTCGAATGTATAATAAAAATTAAAGTTTACTTGATAAAAAGAAAATCAAAATTGGTTAATTGTATTAATATTATGTTATATTAAATATTATATAACGATTATTTTATTAAAGTTTTTTATGCTTCTGGGTTTCATATTTATAAATATTAAGTAGTAATTGTTAATATACGATCGAAGACTGAAATCTGGGATGTTTATCCTAAAATCATATCTGGGATATTTGTCTTAACTGTATTGAATGCCTACTTTTGTATGTTTTGTACAAATTCGTCACCGAATCATATTTCTCCGATATCTTGTTGACATAAATCTTCTGTTCAGAATAAGTCTAATGAATTGAGCGTTTGCTTATTCATACGATCATGCAACATGCTATAATTGTGTTTACTGCGTATGAATGTTTGGCCTGCACAATGAATTCGCTTGAATATTTCACAATTGCATTTGATTAATTTATCAGTTCATTATTCAGATGTGTTATATATTTCTAATTTGATTATTGTTTATTCTCAAACATAAAAATATGTGTGCCATTCTTGACTATTGCAGCTCTCCTGAATCATTTTAATCAAACCTCATTTGTAATTTATCGTCATGTTCAATTGCGTCGCCGAATCTCTTCTATTTTTGATCATTTCCAAATATAAAAGTGACTGGCAGCCAGTCGCAAGTTTTTTCATCCCACAATACAGACCGTCAGCAAGAGTGATCGTATTTCCATCACATACACACCCGATATATACGTCCCGTAAATATTTTATCGAGTCCCGCGCGCTATGCGTCGAGCTATTTCACCGCGAAAGATATAGCCCTTGCAGCGCGAGTGGATCATAAATCGTTTCGAGCGGGCCTCCTCCTTCAAAAGCGGACTTTTTTTTTTATTGCCAGGAATTCGATCATCCGCATGTGCTGCTGCAGAAGGAGTCGGGCTACCTCAAGAACATGGTGCACGAGACGGGGAAGGCGATGGCGGAGGCCCTGGCCGGCGTCGCCCGCGACAACTATCGAAATCGCACGTCCACGGCGCTCTGATCGAGCGTTCCTCGACGATATTTTTTTTTCTAGGTGCAAATAGGTTCCGCGATATCGTGACCCGTCGAAGGTCCAGTCGGCTCTCGCGAGAGCCGACTCTAGTGACTTGCAAAATTGCGTGAAGGATGAAGAGACGACGTCCCCCCCCCCCCTCCGAGAATCCTGGATTCTCGGGATTTATCTCTAGTTGTCGCGGGATCGACAAAATCCCGCGCGTTGACGCGCGAGCGAGGAGCGGAAATGGTATTTTAATGCGACTAGGATGTGAAATGCGAGAGTGATAAGGATCTAGAATCCTAGAGAATTTGGAGAACGTCCCCGATCGACGGGAGATAGAAAAGTGGGAAATAAGTGTACGAAACGATTCGGGACGCCTCGAGTC